GTGATTATTTTTATTAAAGTTAGTAAACAACGTGACCATCGTAATCCATTTAAATCGAAATTTGGGTGCTTTCTTATCAAGGTGAATAATGATCATCAAAAAAAGACAATTGGATTTGATGCTACTTTAAAATAACGTTCAATATGTGATATTTATGTCGGTTAACTTTGCACACGATCGCAAGCTGTTTGCTGGAATAACCTTCCTTCTTTCACACAATCATTAGTTTGCTCAGACTTCATATATTGACTAATTTTACAGTATCAGTTTAAATGCAAAAGGTAAAAAAGAAACTGCAAAAAAAAATGGGAGAAAAAATCATCTACTAGTTCATTTCATCATCACAAATAATTCGTCAATTGATCATTAATCAGTCTTGCACTTCTCTACACAGTATTAAAATCATGTGACATTTTCACTGTAGTCTTGCATATAAAAACAAGTACCAGATCGATAAATTTAAAGACATACAAGGTGATTATTTTTATTAAAGTTTGTAAATATAATTATCGTAATCCGTTTAAATCGATCAGTTGACAATGATATTTTATAGTTAATTTGAAATGAGTTGATTAATTTCTAGTCTCAAAACAGGTTGCAATTTATCTATGCAAAAAATGTTCATTTTACTTGAATTACTAAATCTCAGTATAGACACTCACTTGAAAATAACACTTCCAGGTGTCTCAAAAAGTAAACCAAAATATACAAATATGTAAAATAACCAGCTTGATATCTTGAAATCTATTATTTTTTTATCAGTTGACAGTGATATTTTATAGGTGATTAATTTCTAGTTTCAAAACAAGTTACAATTTAATTTATCTACGATAAACGTCTATTTCAATAGCAAAGGGAGCTTCATCACTCAACTCCTCATTGAAACGGGCACAAGAATAAACTGTCATATCCAATTTTCCTTTCTTTACATTCCAGACATCAAAATATTATGGGAGAGAAAGAACTTTTTTTTCACGTGAATAGTCCATGTTAAAATGACTTTGCTGTATATAAAAAGTATGACTGCAAAATATCAAAATTTTATTTAAGACTAAAATAATTTAAAAAAGATAGAGCTCGATTTAATTATTGATGAATTTGAATTTTTAAAAATTTTCTTGACATATTTAGTGCTCTTTATCAAGAACAACGATGCCGATATTAACATTTGAGTCTTATCAAATGGCTATGTTTAAAAGTATAGTATCCTAAAAGCCTCGCTGAGAAATATCTATAGTAAAGTCATAATATGTCCACGTAGTAAGTATTCGAATTTGAAGCTGTAAAGGTATATTATAAGCAGAATTGTAGCAAACTGAAATGTGGGACTGTTTATTATCGTTTTTTTTCGCACAAAATGCATACGGACAACAGGAAATACGAAATTTGAAACATGCAAATTATTGAGTCAATGGAGTTATTGGAACATTTTGCACACAGTTCCTGATTGATGAATGATCTCCATTGAATGATACTTTTCTAAACTGGCTTTTTTCAATTTTAGAAAGGAATCAAGAATTTCAGTGACGAAACTGAAATTTAAACAGTAACATGCCGGTAGAAACGCTCCAAAATAGGTGTGACATTGATGTGGAAATCCAGTTAACAGCGTAACTTCCGTGCAAATTTCCTCCAGTTATTTTAAAAACCATGTAATTTGCAGTGCCTACAATTACTACACAACCGTTTCTTATTTTAGCAAAACTAAACTGTCTCAAATTCAATATACTTTGTTTGTCTATTCATATATACTTCGTTCTTCGTATTAGTGCAATCCCCACTACTAATTTGTGGTCATTTTAAACAATTCAGAGGATTAATATTGACCTCTTCATTTATCACTAAAGCAAAACAATTAATAATTCTTCAAATATGTATTAATTTATCCAGTATATTGTTCCCTGTAGCCCGTAACATTTCATAATAAAGAGTGAATATTGCAATATTCAGATTATTCCGTTTATCTCCATCTTTGTGCTTTGAGGGAAATGCTGATCGATTGTTGAGAGCAATGTGACTCTGCAGTTCCAGTCATCTTTGAGAAAAAAAACTGTCTTGTAGTTCGCATGCATTTTTCAATGTCACAGGTTGCAGAATACATTGACTTGAAATATGGTAAAATTTGCTGAATGATCTTCAGATAATACTGGATTTCATATTAGAAAGTCCGGCAACTTATGACTTCGAAAAAAGACTAGCTTTTGTGCATTTCTGTACAAAAGCTGGCCTTTTTTAGCATCTGCATTATTCTGTCGTGAAGATAATGCAGGTGCTAAAACAAGAACAAAGTGAACGGAAAGTATCAAGGAACAAAAAGAAACATTTGGCAAAAAAAGGACTTCCTTAACTGCCTGAAGTATAACGTTTGAAAAACGCTTTAAAAGTGTTTTACAGATCACGGTTAGAGCTCTTGCATCACATTCTCCATTCCTTCTTTTCGAAATGATAAAAAATCTACGAAGTATTACAAAATTTTACATGACTAAATAAGTACAAAATGAAATTTTTCTTCATGTGGTTTCACTGACGAATGAATATGAAAGCAATAACTTATTGGCGGCAACATCACAGAATAAATTTTTACAATTGAGATGAAGAAAAACTATTTAAAGTTGGATTATGAAGGACTTCATCAAGTAGTTGAAGAGCTCTGTTTATCTGAACCTCAATCCAACATGGTGTTTCCTTGATTGATTTACGATCATAATCTGGTCCCCATCCTTTGACAAAAGATACTGCTAGAGAGCACAAGTTGCGTAATTCGTCGACACCAACATTTGCAGCCTAAACAAACATTAGTCTGTTTCAAAATGCAACGCAACTATGGGATGCATCAATGCTTTTTAAAGAATTAAATTAAAAATTCAATCATGTTTCTTTTCCAAACGATAACGAAATAAAAATCAACAATGATCAAATACTGATATCTAACATTCTGATATTTTGAAATACTACATGCGTCGTACAAGCATAATTCCTTGTGTGTTGAGTTTTAGTTACTTGTGTTGAGTTTTGAAATTGTAATTTCGTTACATTCCAGAGTTAAGAGAACTGACAAACCCAAAGTAAACCAAGAAATTTCAAAAGTTATAATGCAATTACTGCTGAAATTTGTCCGAAATATAAACAAAATACCTGCCAAGGAATGAAATAATGAAGATAACCTGATTTAAACGACCGGCAAGTTCCGCTGATTTTCTATCCACCCCAAACAATGGATTTCTTGAATTATCAGATGAGTTATTTAGTATTTCTGCCGCTATCAACTGGTACATATTCTGCTGTCGTAGTTGATGGTAACATTGACGTAAGTCGAAAACCTAGAACCAGTAAGTAAAACATGAGAACCAGTAGGCAAAAATTTTCAAAGCATACAATTTATCGAGTGAGAATAACAACTAACATTTTGAAGAAGCTATTCACAACAAAACTTCGCAATTAATTCTGAAACACAAACTTTTAATGTTGCTTGAGAATAAATTTTGTGTACAGCATCGCCTGGAACTCGTCCCGCTTCACGATCAAGATACGAACTTTGAACAAAAACCGGTCGATCCGACAAGCATGTTAACCAAACATCACCTTCTCCTTTCACGTCTAATCGAATTCCACGACCAATATGCTTTCTGTTGATAATGCACAATAGAGTAATAAAATAGAACATTTATCGTCAAGAACGGCACAAATAAGAACAAATTCCATTTAACACTTGCAACATAATTTCACAAAAAGTAAGTGTTAGTAGAAGCTCAGAAATTTTGGAACACAACTCACGAAATAAATGATACAACAACCAACCTGCACCGTTCACTTTCATCAGTACGCTGAACGTTGGAAAGAGATCCTAAACAAAAACGACCAGGAGCAGATGGATCAACTCCTCCATCGATGTAGACCGCAGGTGCGCTTACCGCAAATGTTTCACCAACTTTTGTACTGAACTCATAATAAGAAATGACGCACCAATTTGCCGGATCTTGAACAAAGATAAATCAATAACAATTGAAAAGTAGCTACAAAAATCAATTTACCATCAATGAGTTGCTGTAAAGGTATTTCCAAATTTGATTTTTACATGTTTATAAAAATAAAAATGGAATCCTTACGTGGACTTAGCGACATAGGTTCCGTTCTGTCACGAACTCTAGATTCTACGGGATGTTGAACTTCTTCTAAATAATTTTCAAATCAGTTTTAGGTGCTCTGTCTTGACCAAACACTGACAGAAACTTGCTCTAAATTGATTGGTACAGATTTCATTTTTAAACTTTCAGAAAAAAAAATCATGGCTTTCTATTGAAGGCCCTAGTTGTTCAAGCACAGAGTGAAACTTCCAATAAAAACATATCAAAATACAAAATAAAAGATTGCATTCTTAAATTGTGTCATTCATCAAACAATAGATGATAGTCAAGAAAGTAGCAGCTAAATATAAAAAGTAGTTTTATAGTATCACTCACGCGAGTTACTGGTCGCTGATGAGGAAGATACTTGTAATGATGGATTCAACGCCCCAGTAACAGATTGAGTTGGAAAAGTGTTTTGCGATTGCATGGAACTAGATGGAAATGGAACTGGATTTATCACTGCTGCTACAAAAAACAAACTTATCATAAAATTCAAAAACAGTAGGATGAGGACAAAACAACAAGTAGCGCTATAGGCAAATTCTTATAAAAATGAAATAAAATTACGCATATAATAATTAAAGCACACTTACGAATTTGTGATGACATTGTGACTGCTGTAGCAATTACATTTTGTTCACTGTTATTCCAAGTAGATTGACTTGGTACCACACATACATTGGTGCCGCTAAATAGATCATGTTCACCACCAGGTAATGTTCTTGCCTCTACAATAACTTACATTATGATAAATTTCAGCACAGAATCAATTAACACCTTTTAATACAACAAAAAAAAAGAAATCTTTTTGCAATGACACCTGTTTTGACAACATTGGGAGTACGCAATGTTGACGCATATGCAAGTGTCTTTGCAGCCCAGTCGTCATTCTCATTAAGCGCTGAGTTCCTGTAACTTTATGTTTGATTGCATGTCCAGTCAAAATAACAAACACGGTGCATTAACCCACAACAATTGTACTAAGCTATATGAAAACTTGCAAAGCTTCAAATAAGTGTAATTACAAAATTCTGCCAGCGATTAGAATACA